GTTGGGGTAGAGGCCGTGCGATCGACTCCAGCCAGGCTTCCGCTCCGTCAGACCTTATTCCAGACCTCCCCAGGAGTCCTTCGCGGTCCCCTAGCTCAGCCAGCCGCCCCCACCCCTACACTCCCTTGACGCTGCTTCCATGCTTGCAAGGGCCCAGGCACCAGGACAGCTCTGTGGGCGGATGGCGGGCCTGGGCCCCCGAAACCCCACTCTGTGACCTTCTTTCATCGCGGGCCGGACACAGTCCGCGGTGAGGAATGAGAGAAGAAAAGACGAAGTCGGTAGAGCTAAGCTGACGCAAGTGGAGTCCGTTGGCACAATCCGTTCAGACCAAATGGGCTGAAGCATGAGGAAATGATTTTATTTTACTTTAACTAGACCAAGTACTTAAACTTTTGAACTTTTCAGTTGTGCGTCAATGCCTGGAGACTTATAAATTCCTATAGATAGGACTTAGGAAAAAATGAAGAACTTAGGAAAGAATGTTCACGTGTCCAGACCGCATGGCATCTGGACAGTTACCGACTCCAATCAACCCGGAGCCTAAGAGCGCAGGACGGATGCTTCTCACGAATGTGCTTTTTATTATAAAAATCCTCAGCTGTTCTTTCTTCCTTGGGACACTCTGGGTATCGCCTAGTCACGTTTCCAGTTTGCAAACCCTAAGACCTTTAAATAAATCTTTCATCGTTTATTTCAAGCCAACGCCTCGCGGTTCATTTACACGCTCGGTGGACAGTGGGCAGGGAGCTGTCGCCAAATCCCGGCTGTAAAGTGCGGTGCCCATTCGTGAGGCTGGCGTCAGCCGTTCAGGCAACTGGGGTGAAGGGGCACTGTATCCACGAAAGTGGGACCTTCAGAATCGGGTGTCCAGGAAGGAGGTGGAGCTTCGATGGGACCTGGTGGGGCCCTCAATAGGGGGGCCCCTGGACCGAGTGAGGAGCCCGTGGAAAGTCTTGCCTCGGGTCTGGGGCTTCCGCCGAGGTGGCCTGGGCTCCTCGGGGGGCTGCACCACAATGCGGGGCACCTCGGGTCTGGTGCCTCCCCGCACCCCTGCCAGCTGCTGGGCCTCAAAGATGGCCTGGGCCCCAGCCAGGCGGGCCTTCGGCTGTGGCAGTGGCCCGGACTTGGACTCCGATAGCCGGGCCAGCTGGGCCTTGATCTCCCGCTGCAAGTCCTGCTCGGACAGGGCCACGCTGTGCACCTGTGGGGAGCGGTTGGTACTGAGTTCGCCTGGACTGGGGGAGGGCAGGAAACCATGAGGTCCCCACAGGGCAGGCAGCACGCAGCCCCAGGAAGTGACTGAGGGCTGAGGGGCTGACAGACGTGCTAAGGGAGCCATAGAAAGCCACCTGAGGCCTGGGGTTTTCACATTCTCTGCCGCTCAGAGGACAGGAACTGAGTACCAGTTCTCACTCTGGGACTCAGTTTCCTCGGCTGTGCAGCAGGGGAGGATGGGTGGGGGGCACCTACCTGGGACATGAAGATCTCCTCCTGCAGCTGGGTAGGGGGTATGGCTCGCAGGGCACCCAGCGTCTCCAGGAGCCCGGGGCAGGCCAGGCGCTGTTCTGTGGTGCCCAGTGCCAGGCGCACCAGCGTCAGCCCCACACGGAATAACACCTTCACACCTGCCAGTCAGAGGCTCGCTCAGTGGGGAACAGCCGGCCCCTCCTCAGTTCTGCACCTGAACCTGCCCTGTTGGCCAGACTCTTTCCACCCTCCTGTAACTCTGCAGCCACAGCACAGGCCAGGAGCAAGGGCTGAGGCTAGGCGTGCCATTTAGGGGGACTGGTGAGTATGTCTCGGCAGCCACAGACACTTCTGGGCAGAGCAGCCTGCCAGGAGCCAAGGGCGACTGACCACCTCATGTCAAGCCTTCTCTCTCTGGGCTTCAACTCCTTGTCCCTACAAGGAAGGGCTGGGGGTCGGGGTGGGGGTGCCCATTAAGGCCCTTCCAGCTTGGGTCTGTGACCTTATGATTCCAGAGAGATTCTAGCCAGAGCTGCTCACCCTAAGCCAAGAGCACCGTGCACATGTGCACGTACACACACGCTAGCACACAGGTGTGACCTTGAGCCATCCCTGGAGCCTCAGAGTCCCTCTTGGGGAGCTTGAGGTCTGCTGAGAAGAGCAAGAAGGGAACCAGCAAGCCCTAGTGACAACTGAGACTTGTAAAGGAATGACAGCGATTACTACTATTATCTTTATGAAAAGGAGCCTGTGGCAGGGTTTGTCCTCAGTGGAGAAGACAAGGATAGCTCAGCCACACCGAACGGTCCCTGCCCTGACCTGCCCTGGAGGTCTGAGGCTGGAGAGGAGGTGACGCATAGATGGTGACTTGGACACCCATGGCCAGACCTCTAAGCTAACCTGGAGCCAACTGGGCACACAGCGGGTGTTCAATAAATGTACTGATTGATTTCTACCATTTTTCAGGTGCAACCGCCAGACAACCCACGTAGAACAGAAGGCAGGCAGGTTACTGCCTGACCGAGGCAGAGCCCTAAAGACCCAGAGTCCAGCTCACCCCTGCCCTGACTCCCTCGCTCTTGGCCTGGCCGAGGCATCCACCTCTCTCCATGCCCACACCCCGCAAGTCATCTGCAGCGTGGACCCTGTGAAGAGTGTCCTGCTCCCAGCCTCCACAATGTCCCTGCGAGTTTGCCTCCTCCACGAAGCAGCCACAAATATCTTGAAAAGGAGCAATTTCTTTCTGCAGCTCCCCTAACATGTGGTCACATCCCTCACTTTGTTTTCTTCATGGCACTTATGACGATCTATAAATATCTCGTTAATTTGTTTACCAACGCCTTCCATCTCCACTCCCACCAGAACGTAGGTCCACTCACTCTGGTGGCCCAAGTGTCCAGAGCGGCACCTGGCACCAGTAAGTGCTCACCAAGTACCCGTGGGCTCTGGGATCAAGGCCTCTACCGTTGGCCACGTCCCCACTCTGGTGGTCCCTGAGCCCCAGCCCTGCTGTGATCGCCCCAGCTCCTGCCTCATCTACCTAGGGGGAGACGCCCTGGCCCCACCCTGCCCCCAGGCAGAGGCTGACCTCCCTTCAGTGGTCTCATGGCAGGCAGCAGGGGCCACCATTCATTACACAGTTGGTGTGTGGCCTGGGGCTGGGCTGTTTCCCCAGAGCTGGCAGGGTGCCATCACCCTCAGCACCCCCCAGCACCCAGACCCAGGGCCAGGACTGGCAGTGACGGGTTGGGCAGAACAGAGCTGTCTGGCTCATTCCCTGTGCGCCCCGAGCACCCCAAGGCTCTGTCCCCCCGCACCTGGCAGCTGCCACTTACCCTCACTGAGAAAGGCGTCCCAGACACGCAGCACCGTGGGGAAGGGCAGGGAGCGGGCAAAGAGGCACAGGAACCACTCGGGCAGGTAGAGCAGGGGCCCGACGCCCACCTGTTGCAGGTGCTTGTGCACACGTGGGAGCAGCCGCCGCAGCAGGGCCATGAACACCTCAGCGTCCAGCTGCACAGCTTCCTGCGGACTGGCCATCAGCACCTCCACTCCCAAACCCAGGCTCTACCCCTCTCAGTCCCCAGCCCCTCCCCCATGCCCTTGATTCCAGCCCAGCCTCTCACCATGTGGGGCCCGTAGTAGCCTGGCAGGTAAAGCTCGCAGATTTGCACCAGGCACCAGAAGGCTTCCTGGGGACAGGGCACAAGCCGTGAGTGCCAACTGTGGAGGGGCCACAAAGGGGACCACAAGGCAGGGAGAAGGGGCACTGCGGAGGGCCTGGACACCATCTGTGGTGACTCAGGAGCCAGCAGCCTGGACTCAGCACTGGGGGGGCGCTCTTACCAAAAGCCTCCCCATGCCCAGACAGAGACCTACCCACGGGTTTAGGGGGTCGGAGGTCACAGGACTCAGGGTGTTGAATTTGAGGCTCACAGAATTGAGGCTCACTGGTCAAGGGTTGGGAAGATCCCCAAGTTCAATTCCTGGGTTCTTAGGGTCATTGGGTCAGGGATCCTGGTCACGGGGTTCAGAATCAGGAGTCGTGAGGTCAAGGTGAAAATGCCTAGACTCCTAGATGGCTGGGGCAGGGGTGAAGGGGCCCAGGTTCCAGGAGTTGAGGTCGTTGGGCTTGAAGGTCACTGAGGATAGTAGTCATGAGACCCTGGGTCACTATGACAGGGTCTGGCAGTCAAGGATCCCAGTTCCCTGAGGCCAAAGTTCCTGGAGTTAGGGGATCACGGGTCCAGGGCACAGAATTACTAGGTCCCTAGGTCACTAAAGTTGGGGGTCAAGAGTCCCAGGTACCTGAATTCAGAGTCGCTGGGATTGGGAGTCATGGGTCACTGGGATTGAAGGGTCAGAGTCTCAGGTCCCTAGAACGGGTTAAGGGCACTCACCTCAGGGGGCAGATGCATAAGTAGCACAGCAGCCACAGGGCCCTGGGCTTGGCAGTAGCCCTGTTCGGGACGGTACAGGGTGTAGGCCTTGAGTACTTGCAGGAGCCCCTGCTGCCTGTGCCAAAAGACCCCATTAGGGGCCAGTCATCCCGCATCCCTTCCTTACCCTGTGATAGCCTCTGCCCAGGCCTCACCACCCCCAGCCTTGCAGGCTCCCCTGAGATGCAAAAACAGAAAGTTGGGGCGGGGAGCTGGGCCGAAACGCCTGGGGGGTTGTGAGGCTGGGGGTCCTTGGGCATCACTGGCCTCGTACCCGTGACCCTGGGGTGACACAAACATCTCATGCAGAGGGAACTGGCGGTGTAGGTCCCTGCCGATGGTCTCCATCCACTGTGGTTCTCCTGGGGCCTCAGCCAGTTCCTGTGGGTCGGTGGGAAGGTGGGTGTAAGGGCTCAGAGTGGCCAAGGGCTCTGGGAAGGGGAGGTGGGACCCCTGCCAACTCTTTTACCTGATAGGTACCAGGGCTGTTCTTCTGACACACATGGGCCCCGCAGAGCAGGGGCCAGCAACGGGCACGCAGGGCTGAGGGGATGCCTTTCCGGCACTGCATCTTCACCTGTGGGTGAGACCAAGGGGTCCCATTAGGCCGGCTGGGCCAGCCTCCCCTGCTCCTGTTGGCAGGCGCCAAACATGACTTGTCATCGGGCAAGGGCCACTTTGGGGGGTGGTAGGGAGAAAAGGCAGGAGGTAATGGGACATAGGAGGGGCACATTTTGCCAGGGCCTGGGCGGAGGGAGCTAAAGGAGGACGAGCCAAGGAGGCCTGGGTGGGGCCGCTCCCCGCCCTCACCTTCTTGTACCGTCGAGACATGGTTTTCTCCCAGTGTGAAGTCATCTCTACCCACTTCATCTCCCGTTGGCGGATAAGGTCTGCAGGAGGGTGACCCCGCCTGGGAGGACATGGAACAGGCATCCAGGCACTGGGTGGCTGTTACCTACAGCCCACATCTGTCTGCCCTCAAGCAACACGGTGAGCCTCTGGGGGGTGACCTATCACCCAGGAGTTGCCAGTGGTTGTCATGGGGACAGGAAAGGATGTGGCTCTGATGTGGGCGGAAGCAGGAAAGACTGAAAGGGGTGTGTAGGTGTGTGTTGGGGGAGGGGCTGGTTGGCTGGCCCCCAGGATAGGGACACAGTTCAGACAACTCATAAAGGAAGCTGGACGGACAGGGCCCTGGACTAGAGACCAGGAGTCCTGAGTTTGACTCTGGTTCTGTCTCTGATCGCTGTGTGACCTCAGGCAAGTTCCTTTGTGTCTCTTGTTATCTTGTTTGTATATTGGGAAAGGGGGCAGGTGGAAGGAGGAGTGTGGGTACCATGATTTGGATTTGGGATTCCTGGGCCAGAGATTAAAAGGGGAAGGTTTTCAGTTCCAAGGGTAGGTGCAAACCCTCAGAGGTTGGGGGTAAGAGACAGACAAGGACATCCTGTCTCAGCCATGCCAGCCTTAGGGCTCTACCTGGATGGAGCCTGAGGATGGGTGACATTGGTTGAGTCCCTGATGTTCCCAGGACCCTTGGGCGTCACTCTAGAATTCAGCTCTCAGCCTCCATCCTCAATCGTGGTACCCTGCCCCACCCTGCCCATCTCCCATTCCTTCCCCACTTACCCGGGCTCTGCTGAGCTGCCCCCAATGAAGCCATAGCGATCAGCCTGGCGATATGGGCAGGGCCCACTCAGTTCTGAGTCGGACCCCAAAGAGCTGGAGTCATCCTGCAATTCACAAGTCTGCACCAGGTCCTCGCCCAGGGCCTGGGCCATGGTGCCCCAGACCCCTGATGGAACAGGCTGCAAAATGTAGAGACAACCAACATGTGAGATGTGAGACGCAGCTCCTGGCCAGCCTGAGGCCTGGGCTCCCACCCAGCCAGTCCCTAGCCCCAGGACCTGGCCGTGGTGTCGGAGGGAGGAGGTTTCAGGGTACCTCCCCAAGCCTTTTCTGTCTCCTCTTCTACTGGTGAGAGGTTAGGCCCTTAAGTGTCAGAAAGGCTAGGCCTCTATGTAAGGACCCGGACCCAGGCCCGGACCCAGGCCCGGACCCAGGCCCAGCCCCCGTCCCCACCAGCCCAGCTTACCTCCCTGCTGCACCTCACCTCCTCCGCTCACTTCCTCCTCAGCCACAGCTTCAGCAAACCACTGGGGGGCCCCTCCCCAGCGTGTGTGGGGGGGTCACCCTTTCCTCTCTGAGGCTCTTCCGGCCTGCCCCAGTGCCCCTGTGCCATGGGCTCCTCCCCCCACGGCCTAGGTGGCTGCAGGCTTGGGTTCCTGCACTGGGTGTGATGGAGGCCAGGCTGCCTTCAATTTTGAGGATACTGGTATGTAAAACACTCAACCGAGGATTCCAATGAGCATTACAGTTTATTTAATGTTTGCTTTTTACAAAGTAATACTTTTAACGTGTATACAATGCAGCATTATGTTACTCAAAAGGCAATGAGGGAACTCTTAAGAAAATACTAATTTACATTGCACCAAAGGAAGTGTGAGCCAAAATGGGATCAGAGTTCTACGCAGCGGTCTGGGTCAGCCACCTGGGTCTGGTCCTCCACCTGGGGGAACCACAGGGACTCAGGAGGTAGAGATTCTCAGATTCTCGGCCGGGTCTTGGACCAAGCGTTTGCCTTCTCTGAGCCTGTTTCCTTTTCTGCACTTAGAGAACTTGATCGCAGAGTTTGGGGAAACGATTATCAATGTGTTCGTACCAGGTGGGAAGGACTGTGCAGCCTCTGAAAGAGAAAAACAACTTCCACAGTACTTCCGGCCCCATAGCCTCCGAAAGGGGCTGGGTGATTCCTCAGGGGCGGAACCAGACTCTACCTCACTCCATAAAGCTCCGCCCACCGACCAGGCCCCGCCTCAGGTACGCCAAGCCCCGCCCCGTCACTGAGGCCCCGCCCCTAGGGGGCGCCGCGGCCGCCGCGCATGGCGTCCA